GTTACAGATACAGATACAGAAGAGAAATACACCTTTGAGTAGAAAAAAGTGCTATTAAAAGTAAAAAATTTTGATAATTAACCCAGCAAGCCCGTATTTCTCAAGCATATTTTATTTATTAGAACATTGACCAATGAAATGACACCTACTGTGGCATTTTCCCTGTGCTGTAATGAAGTCAATTTTCATTATTATTATTATTATTATTATTATTATTATTATTATTATTATTATTATTATTAATTAATTCTGGATATAAACACATATAAAACAAAATAGCTTCATAAAAGTTTAAAAAATGTTATTACTTTGTTTATAATAATTTTTTAAAGTTTACAAAAACAGAAAAGTCACAGTGGTGCTATAAAAAAAATTTTTTTTTTTCAATTTATTATAATATTACTGTTTTAATGTCGAGAAAAGACATTTATTAATTAAAAAAATATTTTTTTTTCCATTTGTTTATAAATTTTTTATAAGTTGATATAACTTTTAAACTATTGAAGATACGACAATAAACATTCAAGTCATTATCATTTGTAGGCAATGAAATTATCTCTCAGATAAGTCATTTGTCAATTCCGTACCTATTGTCAATTTGTTGTTTTTTATATTTGTTTATAAAAATTGATTTTTTTTCGAACTTTTGCGGCTTGTAGCTCAGTAAATAATACAAATTCGGTAATTGAACTTTAAGGCAATTCTGTTAAGCTATTATTTATATAACATTTGCAATTGTTTATTTAATTTTCAGTCAATTTTTTTATAAACCATTATAATTTTTTACTTTCCTATCTGTTTACAGATATAAGGAAAGTATAGGAATCATGATTTTTTTCGACATCGAGTTTTCGACGGATTTTTACGTTTTGAGGTCCCCTGAATCCGTTTTTGACTATTTTCGCGATGATGTCTGTGTGTGTGTGTGTGTGTGTGTGTGTCTGTGTGTGTGTGTGTGTCTGTGTGTGTGTGTGTGTGTGTGTGTGTGTGTGTGTGTCTGTATAACGCATAACTCATGAACCGATACACGGAAAAACACCAAATTTCAAACTTAAGCTTTGTTCCAGCGTTTAATGAGCTGATTAGATTTTGGGCAGAGTCGGAACATCTGGGGGGGTACTTTATAGGTGGTCATTTTTATATTTTATTGAATATATCTGTTATTTACGTTTGGGGAAGAAAATTCTTCAAATGAAAGTTACTTCTTATTTTATTATCTATAATTTTTGTTATATACAAAATTTTCATAAAATGGTCCGTATTCGCGAAATTTGACAAAATGTAAAAAAATATTTTTTTTTGTAAAAATTGTTCAAACAAAAGTTGTTTGTAATATAATTCTCTATAATTTTTATCCTATAGATAATTTCTCTAAAATGGACCGTATTCGAGATATTTGAGAAAATGTGTAAATTTCGAAATTTGAAGAAAACTCAAAAACGGATAAAGAAAAAAACATTAAATTTTAAACTTAAGTTTTATTTCGGCCTGACGTGAAATGATTAGATTTTGGACAAAGTCGGAACATCTGGGGGGGTACTTTATGGGAGGCCGTTTTTATATTTTATGGAATATATCTGTTATTTATGTTTGGAGAAAAAAATTGTTCAAAAAAAAGTTACTTCTAATATTATTATCTATAATTTTTGTTTTATGTAAAAATTTCCTGAAATGGTCCGTATTCGAAAAATTTGACAAAATGTGCAAAATTCTGATTTTTATGAAAATTGTTGAAATAAAAGTTGTTTGCGATATCGATCTCTATAATATTTGTTCATACATGATTTTTTTAAAATGGACCGTAATGGAAAAATTGTAGGAAAGGGGCTAAATTTAAATTTTTCAGTATTTTCATTTTCAATGAATATCTATAGAAAAATGTTTCGCGGTAGATGTATGTGTACAATGTATATATTTAGTTTATCCTATAAACATTTATAGAGATGCTGCAATAGGTTGTACAAAATAACCGGAAAAAGCCTGTAATAACTAGATAGGAAAGTCATGTGTTGGACACATCAGATTTTTTACTAAATCTTTGGAAAGTTTATGCATTCATATTATTTTCAATTTTTTACATAATATTGCACAGTGTTTACAAATCTTTAAAATTTAGTCCGACTTTTTTTACTAATTCGTTTTCGTCTTTCGCTTCGAGTTTTGTACGTTTCAATGTGCAGCTGCGTGTTTACAGGTTAAATTTTTTGTCCGATTCCCTCAACAAAATTCATTTTATGACTTTTCTTTCAATTATTTATAGAAATTCTTGCATGTTTTTCAGAGGAAAAATAATTTTTAATATTTTTGATTGAAGATAGCCAGAGAATAGTAAAGTAAATAGCTAGAAGTAAAAAAAATTCCAAAGATTTAGTAAAACAATTATAATAGTTTATAAAAAAAATTGACTGAAAATTAAATAAACAATTGCAAATGTTATATAATTAATAGATTTCCTCGAAGATCAATAACCGAATTTGCATTATTTACTGAGCTACAAGCCGCAAAAGTTCAAAAAACTCATTAAACGCTGGAACAAAGCTTAAGTTTGAAATTTGGTGTTTTTCCGTGTATCGGTTCATGAGTTATGCGTTATACAGACACACACACACACACACACACACACACACACACACAGACACACACACACACACAGACACACACACACACACACACACACACAGACATCATCGCGAAAATAGTCAAAAACGGATTCAGGGGACCTCAAAACGTAAAAATCCGTCGAAAACTCGATGTCGAAAAAAATCATGATTCCTATACTTTCCTTATATCTGTAAACAGATAGGAAAGTAAAAAATTATAATGGTTTATAAAAAAATTGACTGAAAATTAAATAAACAATTGCAAATGTTATATAAATAATAGCTTAACAGAATTGCCTTAAAGTTCAATTACCGAATTTGTATTATTTACTGAGCTACAAGCCGCAAAAGTTCGAAAAAAAATCAATTTTTATAAACAAATATAAAAAACAACAAATTGACAATAGGTACGGAATTGACAAATGACTTATCTGAGAGATAATTTCATTGCCTACAAAAATGTAAAAATAAACCAAAGTTGGGAATTTGTTTATAACAAATTGTTAACTTAATAAACATTGGAATTATTAATAAAAAAATTTTTTTGCTGTCACTTTGTAGAGGACTGTCAATTATGATTTAAAAAAAAAAAAACACATTTCTTAACTAATAATTTAAACAATAGTTATATTAAAAAAACGATTATAAACAATTAAAAGTTATTATTAAGAAATTTTTTTTTTTCAAAATCATACTCGTAATGGGCAATTGTCTAGAAAGTTGTTAAAAAAAAAATTTTAAAAAATAGAAATACTCCATTTCTTTATAAAAAATTTATAAACAAATGGAGGAAAAAAATTTTTTTTTTTAATTAATAACTGTCTTTTCTCGACATTAAAACAGTAATATTATAATAAATTAAAAAAAAAATTATAGCACAACTGTGACTTTTCTGTTTTTGTAAACTTTAAAAAATTATTATAAACAAAGTAATAACATTTTTTAAACTTTTATGAAGCTATTTTGTTTTATATGTATATAACAAGAGTTCCACGAAGCAAAAAAAATTTACGGTAATTATTTAATATTTTTATCAATTTGTAATGATAAAAGAAATTCTAAAAATTTTGTTAATTAACAATAACCTACTTTGTTGGAAAATTAATTTTTATGAAAAATTTCAACGGGAATGAATTCTTCTGTGTTTAGAATACACCGTAATTTTTATAAAATTTTTGAATTTAATTTTATTAACTTAAAAAAATTATTTTGTGTAACGTACTCGGTTTCGACGCCGTGCGCGCAACCTAAAAATAGCGCGTGCGGAAGGCTACTTTGATCGTTAAATTAAAATTAAAAATAATGGAGGTACAGTTCCAGGAGTTGAAACTTATTTATAGCAAATTTCCTCCTCTTTAAGGATCTTTTTTGAAAAATCCAAAAATATTTATAGCTTACAAACTATAGGCAAAAACCAAACACCATGTTTTTGAAGTGTTTAATTGTTTATGCACTGCAAAATTTTTCTTCACACATTGATTTAGACATTATTCCGAATCGAATGAGCTATTGAACATAATTTTCGTAATAGTATGTCCCAAAAACACGCTTTTGAACTTGTTGATTAGATTATCAGATGAAAGTTTTATAGTTTTTTGGGGAAAAAATTTGAGCTAAAATCTTTTCTTATAGCTAACCATAATATGGCCAATTTTTTTTCGCGCAGCACAATTTTCAAGTAGGTGTTACTTAAAAAGTAAAAGTCCAATAAAAAAAATATTTCCCTTAAAAGTTTCTTATTTTTTTTTATGAACTAACAATATGTAAAAAAATGCAGTTTCTATTTGAAAAAAAAAAAAGTTTACCTCGATATGAATGAGGCATACTTAATAAATTAGGAACAAAATTTGTTAAGTTGGCGAAAACAATAGAACAGACAAAAACAGTGGATCTACTTAAAAACAGTAGGTCTGGCAACACTGATCGTTCCCTCCATTTGTCGTCTGCAGTTGTCGCGTCACCTGTCTCCTTGCTTCCCAAATGTATGAAGCGTAACGTTAATGCATCTGTCGTCCTTGCCGTTGCATCTGTTGTCGTCTGTCGCGCCTTCCGAAACGGTACCATTAGTAGAAATTAAAAAAAAATGGTAATATTTCTGGTATTCGGTCATCCATTTTGCCCAGTTTCTTCAAGATTTTATTAATAAAACTGTTATTGATTTAATTATTATATTAACAAAATTTTAAATTATAAAAAAAATGATTTACTTAGATTTATAATATTAAGTGACTGGCGCTGTAGTGATTGATGATTGCATCTATTTTTCTTTTTTTACAAACGAGTATTCCACTTGTTTCTGCTGCTATAAATATTGTTTTCTCGTTATTATATTTTTGGGCAAAAATAGTATAATTCTAAAGTTGCGAGGTGGCTCGATAACAATTTATGATTTTTTTTTAGAACTATTTCTGCCAAATTCAGCAATAGTACATTTCCAGATGGTTTTTCATTTGGAGCCGCAACTTCTGCATTCCAAATTGAAGGCGCTTGGAATGAAGATAGCAAAGGGGAGACAATTTGGGACCACTGGGTTCATAACAATCCATCCATAATCGTGGATCACAGTAATGCAGATGTAGCTTCTGATTCATATCACAAATACAAGGAAGATGTTGCTATGATAGCAGAATTAGGTCTTAATCATTATAAGTTTTCTATATCGTGGTCAAGGTAATTAAATCTAACAATAAATAATAATATTAAAAAAAATACCATCCAAATTAGTTTTCTGGTTTACCTTATAGTAAATAAATATTTTTGTAGGATTTTACCAACTGGTTTTAATAATGAATATAGTCTGAAGGGTATTTTATATTACCAAAATTTAATAAATGAACTTCAAAAACACAACATCACACCCATAGTTACCATGTATCATTGGGATTTACCAGAATCAATACAAGAATTAGGAGGATGGCTCAATAATGAAATTGTAGACTATTTCAAGGATTATGCTGAGATTCTTTTTGAAAATTTCCCTACTGTTAAACATTGGATTACTATAAATGAACCAAAACAGGTAAAAAATATTTAATGTAGTTAGCCACTCAGCTATTTCTTCACAACAGCTATTTTTTATATTATATCAACTATATCAACCAAATACACGTGTATATAGTATTTTTAATACAAATCCTGATGCACGTCGGAGATCATTTATGACTTCACGGCCTTGCAGTGTTGTCTAATTGTCAGAATAGTTGAGGAATTTAGAAAAATTAAAATTGTAAGGTTATGTATTTTTTTGTTATGTTACTAATAGGAGTAATAGGAAAAATTAGTTTTAAATGTATACAGGGTGTACCAATAAAAACTCCCAGGCCGGATATTTTGGTAAGTAATAGAGATATTTTAATTCTGTAAAAGCCAGTTTATAGAGCGCTAAGAGATCTTCAGTTTTAGATATAAATTGATTTTAAATAGGTCAATATGTAGATGGCGCTGCGCTCAATAATTATTTTTCGATGGGAGGATCTTTCTTATGTAGCGCATCTTGTAAAAAATGCATTTTTAAGTTAATTTTGTTCTATGAACTAATTCGATAAATCTAGCCATTTTTGATATACAGAGTGGGTCATTCAAAACAGTTTCATCCTGTTTTTCGGAATTATTCATTGTATTTTTGCAAAATGCTAAAACAGGTCGATTTTTATTCTAAATTAAAGACATTTATACAATATAGACATATGTCATGTGTCAACCCCCTCCCTTATACTTCTCCACACCTTAATTTTAAATAGGTAATGTACCATGTATGGCTCATCATTAAAAAGGTAATTTAATGGAGGATTCAGAAATATTTCTGTAAATTACGTTACTTAAATTTTATCGCCCTCTAGCGGGATAAAAAACTACTACGTATTGTAGAGTGTGATACTACAATGTGTAGTACATCATTAAAAAGGTAATTTTATGGGGAATTTAGAAATATGACTGTCCATTGTGATACTTTTAATTGTACTGCCCTCTAGCGGGAAAAAAAACTACGTATTTTAAAGTGTGACACCTTTTTTGAAAGCAAATTTAATTACTAATTCAATGTACCACATAACATTAATTAATAACAATATTATTATAAATATCCACATTGCACTTGCAATAGTTTAAAAATTAGTCATGCATTATTTTAAACATTATTGCTAACTTTATTTTGTTGCAAGTGCAATATGGAAATATTTATATTAATGTTATGTGGCGCATTGAATTAGTATTTAAATTAGCTTTCAAATGAAGTGTCACACTTTAAAATACGTTACAGATTTTTTATCCCGATAGAGGGCGCTAAAATTAAAAGTTTCGCAATAAACTGTCATATTTATGACTTCCCCATAAAATTACCTTTTTAATGATGTGCCGTACATGGTACATTCCTTATTTAAAATTAAGGGGTTGGAGAAGTGGAAGGGAGGAGGTTGACACATGACAGATGTCTGTATTGCAAAAATGTGTTTAATTTAGAATAAAAATCGACCTGTTTTAGCATTTTGCAAAAATACAATGAATAATTCCGAAAAACAGGATGAAACTGTTTTGAATGACCCACTCTGTATATCAAAAATGGCTAGATTTATCGAATTAGTTCATAGAACAAAATTAACTTAAAAATGCATTTTTTACAAGATGCGCTACATAAGAAAGATCCTCCCATCGAAAAATAATTATTGAGCGCAGCGCCATCTACATATTGACCTATTTAAAATCAATTTATATCTAAAACTGAAGATCTCTTAGCGCTCTATAAACTGGCTTTTACAGAATTAAAATATCTCTATTACTTACCAAAATATCCGGCCTGGGAGTTTTTATTGGTACACCCTGTATAACTAATGGAAAATATTGAATTCCCTTGTATATAAAAAACAACTGAACAAAAAAGCTGTAAAGATATTGCAAGTCATGGAAAATAAAACTGTAAGGTAGTATATTGCGGATGGATCAAAATTGGTCCAGAATTAGCACAGAAAATATCTGAAACTAATTTAATTTCACCAAGAAAGTTATTTAACAGAACTGCATTTAAGTTATAAACGACAACACCCTATAAAATTAAAGAGATCATTGAAAAAATAAAAACTACAAAGGCATGGAGTCATAATATCAGTAGATAGTAGATATCTATACTTAAAGTTTGAAATTGTTAAAATATTTGTATACAAGAAGAAAATTGTTAAAATATTTGAGTAGGTACTTTAGTAAATCTCACTTTCAGTAACGGTTCTATATCTCAAATATTCAAGATAGCCAGAAATGCTTCAAAAATAGACTGATATCGCTGCTTCTTTTCAACTCTAAAGTTATTAAAACATGTATGAACAATAGATTCATCACTTAAACATCTAGATTATCCATCCTACCAGTTTCAAAAGACATTTGTTCTCAGTAGATTCTTTAGCAATATGTAACTGTGAAATATTCTACTTTTTGCTATAACTCATGTTTATTTATTGGTACTAGTCTTTTTCCAATCATTGTAAATATTAATAAATTGTATGAATCGCATAACGAAACCTCAAGAGTCAAATATTTTTTTATATTTTGGAATAAATCAAATTAAAATAAAGATATATAAGAAATATATCAAACTATTTAGTTTTAAAAATTAGACAATGTTTTTTTTTAATATATTCTTCGTAATTCCTATTAAAATTCTTTTATTTCGCCTAATCTATATTGCAAGTATTTGAATCGCAGTTACCGATGTCGTTGTTAGGAATAATTATAATTAAAATAACTTTCTATCTATCAAAAACTTCCTCTCTGCCAATATGTTTATTATATTGCTTGGGAAGGTCCCCAATAAGTTCAATGGGGTTAAAAACACTAAGGCAAGGAAGAAGACTCAATTCTTTACGTCTATATTGTTCTGCTTAATTATTTACCATATTGTTACGCAGCACCCTGCAGTAGCCTGCGGCTATTATAGGAAACGTACAGATAGAAAAAGAAGTGGAATGTTACTCATCGTCCTACAGTATGCTGCGGTCGTCATGAGTAAAAGTACAAGTAAAAGAAGATAGAATAGTCCAGAAATGTCTGGAAATGTCATTACCCGTCAAGAATATTCTAGACGACAGTTCGAGAAGCTATATAAGGATGAACCTGACGTCAGAGTTCAGTTTTATGACAGACGTTACATATTAATGTTATCAGTTGTATAGTTCTTGTTGTAAAAGTTGACTAAAAAAATAAATCGAGATACCAAAAACCTTCGTAACAATATATTTCTTTGGCGGTTTGTTTATTTCTAGTTGTTATTTCATATAACATGTATCAATATCGCTATATTCTAAATTGTAATATCGAAACAACACATATCAAAGATTTAATGGTAGGTACACCATTATAGTAAATCTTGTAACTTCATTTTTAATTTTTTGATATTGTTTTGAAGTTTATTTCTAAAAAAAAGGTATTTTTGGTTTTCACTGTAAATCTTGAGAATGTGAAAAACATGTAGATTTTTATTGACAACGTTTGTGATTTTTGAAAACGTAGGTTGGGATTTAATTTCTCTTTCTCTTATGCGAAAAGATCTGGATAGGAGTTTTACCGCTTCATATTCCTGAGCTACAATCAGTTTCTACGAGTACCTTAGCGTCTTGTGATGTTGTATACGAAGGGCTTGCTGCATTTCCACATCTTGTAGTCCATCAATGAATGCCTGTATGTTTACTTGTTCTTGGAAACCTTTGGTCGCCTGTGGATAGGTCAGATGAATTAATCGTTTTATATCGGCCTTAAATTTCTGTAGACTCTCATTATGTTTCTGGCTACGAACATTTAGCTAAGTTTTTTTGGGAGGCAAACCGCGAAGGCTCCAGGCAGCATAGGTTAAGTAAATTAGTTGTTTCTTGTAAAAGAAAACTTAGAATATTTTACCTAAATTTGTCCCATCTAGACACAACTCGACCTTAGTAAAATATATATTTTGTGCGAATTAATCATATTATTTTAATCTCAATGACACTAAATAATCGTTTAACTCTGAAAATATTAATTTGTAAATTAACAGTATTGTAAGGAAAAAATTGTCAAATGAGGCAGCTATCATTAGTACCTTTCCAATTTGACGATAGCGACTGAGTTTAGTTTTTCCGAAAATAAGGAAGAGGCGGATGGTTGCATGGTGTCGTTTTTTTTATTTTTACTATTTTTAATGTTGATTTTCGATATATTGTCTTTTCGATCTAATGAATTTTAGATCTAATGTCTTTTTGATAAAACTTCATTCGATAAAATATATCTTCGATCAAATGTTATTCGATAAAATTTATTTCGATCAAATATTATTCGACGAAATGTATTTTCGAACAAATTTTCAATTCGATCAAATGTTTTCCGATCAATTTTGTGCCACCCCTTTGGAATACCCGTTTTAAATGCTGTTGATCATACCTTGTCTCCAAGGCTTGAACGAGAGACGTATAACTGTGTTCCTCTTGAGGGAGTAACTGTAAAACGGTTGCTGTCCTCGCAGCGACACTATCAATGCAGCCGCAATCTCTTTTTTAGCCCAGCCATTGACTCTAGCTGCAGCTTCAAATTGAAGGCGATACACGTTTCCCATATTGTCTGATCGTGGGTGGCTTAATGATCTTGCTACTAGGGCTTTGTGAAACTGAGTTTTGAATATGGCTTGATTCGATTGAGGATGAGGTAGTATTTTGAGTTTCTCTATTGCTTATCGAAGCTGAGCTACGAATTATTTTTTCTAACTCAACTAGTTTAGTTCTAATTTGCCTTTTCCTGTTGTTTTCAATTATCTCGTTGTTGTTCTAAATTAGTTTTTAAATGCTCTTGCTGCTGTTCTAAATAAGCTTTTAAATGCTCTTGTTGCTCTAAAAGATCTACTCTAATTCTAAGCCGATTAACCTCTTGCTTAAAGGTTTCCAGGATTTGTAGCAAAGCATTCGTAATTTTTACCTCAGCTTTTCCACGTCTCTCTTCCTTCTCTTTTTTCTTTTTCTCTTCTTCTCGTCTTTCCTTTTCCGCCTCCTCTTTCTTCTTACGCCTTTCCTT